GCCCAATTTGGACAGTTTCACTTAGGGGTGTACTCACTTTTGTTGCCAGCAGTTTAGACATTAATGGCTGTGTGTTGAGTTATTTTGAGGGGACAGCAAATTTACACTGTTATACAAGCTGTATACTCACTGCTTTACATTGTAGCAAAATGTCATTTCTTCAGAGTTGTCACATGAAAAGATATAATAAAATATTTACAAAATGTGAGGGGTGTACTCACTTCTGTGATATACTGTAACTTACAGGGACAGATACAGAGAAGCAATACATAGCGCCTTTGGTCTCTTACAAAAAGAGGAACATTTGAAATGATATCAAATAGCAAAAATCTGTATTGCTTCTTCCTTAACAATTCAAGGTGCTGAATTTGGACATCAAACTAAACAACCCAGGAATGAGGCATTGTTAAAGTGAAAGCAGCAAGTGTGGTAGTCATTTCTAGGGATGGGTTAAGCAATCCATAGTTAGTTTGGGCCATGCTGGAGTGGAAGAAAATTGAAACTGAACTTGAAAACAGTAACTCTAGGCAAAGACGTTAATCTGGAAACATGCCAGTATAGAAATACACAGGGTTCATTCAGACAGACTATGTGTATAGGAAAGAGACTCTGGCAAAGCCAAACAAGCATGTAGCTGTTTTGTCATCACATCTGAACCCAGCACTCTGAATTGATAAGGGAGCCACAGCACAGTTTTAGCCCAACAACAATTTGTGAGTTAAAAGTCTGCTTTGTTTCTTTCTCAACAACCCAGAAAGTTAATTATGTTTACATAAAGTAGCTTACAGATGAAGTTATAGAAGCACTTTTCTTTTAGAGATCAAAATTCACATGGAAATTGTTTGTTTTAAATCCAATTGTTCTTTAGCATCTCTTCACTTTCCAGCTAACCAAACATGTATATAAATTGCAGAACAGGAAAACAGCACCATACTTTTACAAATCATTTGCCTTTTCAAGAACTGAGACACTATTGTCTTAGCATTACAAAGTTTCTTTCTGCAAGTCTTCAACAATTCCTTGGAAGAGATTCAGGCAGTGCCTACTTGAATTAGTGTAACCAAAAAAGTACCCTTCATTCGTATTTGTTGCCATGGTTTCACCCTAACACACAAAAACATGGACATGTCTATACCAAACCACACACAGCAATGTCTACACTGAATTTTAGAACGTCTTCTGCTCTTATTTCAATGCTAAGATCCATGTAGGAAAGGTTAGGTGGATGTAACTGTGTTTTAACACTTTTTCTGTGTGCCTTTGATATAAAATCTTAATATGCATACAACAAATGATATCAATTACTGGGTACCCCTGCTATGCTTGGGACATGTGAAACAGTAAAACTATAAAAACCCAGTGAAAGTCAAAATCCTCCAAGTGTACCCATCTATAGATTTTGGCTATAAAGGATTGCACTGGAAACATTCTCACGTTATGCTTATTTTTTCTTCTAGGAACATTGCAAAAATCTCTTTGATCTCTTTTCTCACTCAAGAAATTTGAAGGATATACTGATAAAAAGTGAATTGCAAGCAAAAAAGATGTTTGCGTTACTATGCCCTAGTCATTACACATGTGTCTGCTGAAAACAAGTATGTGACATGGAGGTTTTTTGTTAATCAGCAAAATGGAAGAGAATTTCTATTTCCCATAAGCATGTTAGTTATGCTATCCATTGCTAATGCAGGAAAATGTATGTGGGGAAATTGCCACAGTCCTTTAAATTGAGTGGGTATTGAGTACCATCAAGCAGAATACATGCAAACTTTTCCCTCCGGGACTTAAGATCTATAATAGTGTCTTAGAATCAGGCAAATGTGCAGTAACAAGGAGTTTTTAGTTTCAGCTAGTAGTCATGTTTATTGTATTTTTAAAAGTTTATAAATAATTGTGTATGAATTTTTAATGCTGAATTTTATTTGTATTGGCTACCTGCATGTTTGCACTACACTGGCTGCCTGTGTGCTTTCAGGCCCGATTCAAGGTGCTGGTTTTAACTTGTCACGCCTTACATAGTGTGGGATTGCAATACCTGTTGGAGCGCCTCTCTCAGTTTACTTGGAAACTAGTCTCAGCCTCTGGGGCCTTCCTCTGAGTGCCAACTCCAAGGGAGATTCAAAGGGTGGCGGGGGGGGGGCTTTCTCAGTGGTGGCCCCCATCTATGGAACATTGTCCCCCACTATGGCCCAAACTTGTAATCTTTTCAGTGTTGGGTTAAGACAGACCTTTATGCTAAGGCATTTAGAAATTTTCTTAGCTACCTAGGGAGTTTGAGGGGATTACCCATCCCTAGCATTTCTTTTTTTTTTACAGAGTAATTTTACTGTATACTGTATTTTAGCAGTTCTAAATCATTGTAATGCTGCTTTGCTTTTATGGTATGTGTATTGTACGTTATTGTGTGTTTTATGCATTGATATAAACACCCAGAAAGCTTCAGCTATGAGGCAGTACAGAAATAAATACCACTATGACTAAGTGATTTTTTGTGTTGGAAATTTGTAACGCATTTAGAAACAAATGCAGTTAATTAGTCCATGGTTCTTTTAGTACTGCATATTTTGGAAAGATGTTTATAAAATTACAATACATGGTCTTGTGTTTCAGAAGGAAGTACCCTGTAGAAGGAGCTCATTTCCAAAAATTAGACAGACTTGCACAAACCAAGTAGGTATGCTTCTGATTGTGCCACTTTTGTTTTTCTTTGTATCACCCTGTTTTTAGCTGGTCCCTAATTCAGACATTGCATTAAGCAATGGTTTCTGATGAGCTGAGTATGAAACTCAAATAATTTTTCCGAATTTTCCAGCAAACCATCACTTAAAGCTGCCTGATTCAGTTCTGTCTAGGTACAGTGGCCTCTTAATACAGAATAGCAGCTGCAATTATGGTTTGTCAACTCAAATCATGCCAACCTATAATTAAGTTTCCCTAACCATGGCTGGACATGAACTCTGAACTGAGCCTAGCTCTTTGGGACAACTGAATACAAAAGGGTTTTGTTCTGAATTAGCTGGTTTTGTCTAAAGACAACTTAGTAACTCTTATCAAGAAACTCTGAATGAAGAATGTCATCTACCAGCTTGCCTCAATTTAAGCATGCTACATTTTAGAACTGCAATTAAACTGTTTTTCAAATAGTCTCTTCAGTGACTATCAGAGTGCAATGCTAACATTTACATCCTGCATAATATTGCAGTAGTCCTCTAATTTTAAGATACCTCGAAGCAGCAACTTCCCACACATTTTACTTGATAAGGAAAGAATTCTTAGAATCCTATACTCACACAACCTAAGTCCAATTCCCAACAAAGGTATAGTATTACACATATGAAGAAGCTGATATTTGAAAAAAACAACACTACAATGGACACACAATTACCATTTCAGCCTCCATACATTATCTACTCCACTATATCAAAGAGGACAAGTCCCCAGAAATTCTCACAGGCAGCAAAACAAGGTGATAGAAAAGAAAAATGGCAACTCTCAATAATAGTAAAAGTAAGAACTTCACACGCACGCACGCAAAATCACATTAACGCCGACAACTAAAGGAAGAAGAGGAAACAATCAATACTTATATTTTCTCAGAAACTTTACAAGTCGTCAATCTGATAATTCCATATACTGCTTTTAGGTACCCTAACTGTGTATGCACACACACAAATCATCAGAAAAGAGCTCTTCACCAGGCAGAATTAGTCTCTATGTTAAAGAAAAACTCCTAAAAGCTCTCCAATTCAGCCCTTTGCTCAAAGTGAATAGAACAAAACATACATGGATACAGGATATGTCTATTTACCCATTTCCCAGGATGCCATATGGGGCAAACTGAGCTCCCTCCTATTCAGCAGGTTTTCAGAAAAGTTTCCAACAAGAGGAGATAGAAAAAGTATGCAATGCAGAATTGGACGGAGGGTCCCAATATGAATTGGGGAAAGCTAAGCAGACCACAGGTACATTGCTTTCAAACACTGGACACACCACTCACTATTAATAGTGGCTAGATATTCCTTACAAGATCAGATCATCGACACCCAGCAAAGAATTGTGTATCCTATGTTTTACAGATATCACTATCCTCAAGAGGTGAATCTTTCATTGCACACTTGCCAACCCCAAATAAACTCTCTAGGACCTGTCTGTTATCGTTGCTCCAGTCATTATGCTCTCAACCAACAACCAGTCTCCATCATGCCATGCAGACTACAACACCAAACACCAACATGCAACACCAAACTTTGGGAAATCAACTGCTCTTGTGTAGGGTTGACACTTTTTTCATATCTGGGTTCCTGCATGACTGACCAGACTGTAACAGCAACGCCCAACATGTAGACACAGTGCTGGTGAAAGCTGCAGTTTTCATTCCAGTGTCTATCACCACGTTTTCAGAGACACAAGAGTTCAGCTACATATCTACTCATATGCTTGTGATGGCTGGGAAATTACTATCTTCCTGAATTCTTTTTCTCTCAAATTTCTGTAGGATAGTGCATATAATGGGACTGAGACAGTGGATCGTTCACTATCACACCTAATCAGTGCTGACAAAGGGTCTCCAACTTGTCAGTGACCTTACCGCTACAAACACAAGAAAAAAGGCCTACTCCCAATAATTCAGTATCCTCCTGGCACCCATCCTGCTATGTGAGCCAAGCAATAATGTGTGCATGGGTTAGTGTGTGTGTGTGGGGGGGGGTCAATTGATAACCAGCAATAATGGCTGGGAGAGCAATTAACAGACCGGCAATAGATGTACGTCTGTTATTTCCCCACTACTTCTCCTGCAAGATTATGCCCAGGTATCAAACTTGGGACATTGTATATCACACCTTTACTGTTTCATAACAAGAGCCCTTAATTCAATTGTACAATACAAGGCTGATTTATAGAGGGAATTAGGAGCATAATGAGCGACAATCTACAAAGGCTCTATTCTCTATCCTCTACTAACCATGGGATTAGAATGCTGAACTTGGAAGCAGGTTCACAGCAACACTGCTTCCCTCTATTTTTATTTACAGTAATTGATAGTAATAGTACATTCAAAACATGTTGTTTCTTATAGAACCCACATTTACAGCTTTTAGGAGAACTTAAATCCACCTCTTGTACATCATTCTCTCTCACTAAGCTACGAACCAGCTCATGTTATTTCCTATTGTGAGCTGCTTTATAGCAAGATGCTTGCTACACCAACACAAGTGTGTCATGCTCAGTCACATGTCCACTGACAGGAATCATTGATATGCAAATCCTTCTTTGTGAGCAGCCTGTTGTCTTCTACAAATTGGTATATAGGTCTATCTACTGGAGACTAGACTATTTATATAATGTCACTCAAGAAAGCTCAATATGATCTGAACCTGTGCCAGGTAAGAACCCAATTCAAAAAAGAACCAAGAGAGAGAATAAGAACAGCAGCTTCCACTAATTTCAGTACAAGGCTTGTGAAGCAAGAAGTCCACCAAGTAGTTTTCTATGCACTATATTAATACGCATCACATCCAAATAGCCTCTCAGAGCCAGATGTAAAATAGTTGTGAGCATCTGCAACCATCAATCTTACGTCATAAGGCTTAGAAACTTGATTCTGAGGTTTCTAACAATGGATTATGGTTGCTCAATTTTTCACACACCCAAAACACTTTGAACCAAAGAAAGCTCTTTGTACATATTTTGATGTAGCATAGTGTCCTGAAATCAAAGTTATCTGCCTCAGGCAGCCTTACAGTTTTACCTAGGAACACCATCCCTCAGATAATCTGACATTTTAACTGGAAAAGTTATTTGAAAACCATCTTGCAATGGAAAAGACGATAGGGTGAATCCAAGATGGCTCTTTTAACTCATTTTCATGGAAGGTCAGCTCTCTCAGCAACTCACATTTCTTTTAAAGAGGAAGTGGAAACACTCAGATTTGGCAATTTGAAAACATGATTTCAGGTGTCAGAAATCTTACTGCACAAAAGTTCACCAAGCAAGCAAGAAGACCTACTCCACCTTTAAAACGTATGTGGTGACACCGCAGTTCATAAAAAGAACAGTAAATTAACTGTCCAGCTAAAATAAGTCTTCCGCTGCAATCTACCTGTCCAGCTGAAAGAAGTCTTAGCTGCAATGTAGCTTACTCTGAAGCACTGTCAAGAACTTTCCAATGAAGCATGCTAACAGTCTAGCTCCACAGATGTATGCCTCTTTCGCAGTAAGCATTGCGTTGCCGACACACAGTTCCTCTTTAGCTACTCTGGCTCTAGAGAGTCACCCAAAACAACACTCTTAACTGGGACTAGCAAAAGAGGCAGCCACGTGGACTGCTGTTAATCAAAGTGATTAGCGTCACAAGAAAACTTTTCCACCGGGACATTCTCTTCCCTCCAGGTCACGCCTTTAGACGGACACTGTCGGCTAGTCGCACGCCTCAGCTCCGAAATCATCGCGGAGCCAGTACTGCAGCCCGTGGCGACCCCACCCGTATTTATTTTCCCTCACTCACTAGCCTCCCCCTAAGACAAAGCTCTGCAGGGCGCGCCTACAACTCTCGTACCAGCCAGCACAGTCGATGATGGGAACTATAGCACTTCCCACCCATCTGGAGGGCATCAGGTTAGGGGAGGCAGCCTTAAGTGTTCGAAGGCAAACATTTCAAGGTGGGATAGTCTCCCTCAGGGAGGCTCTGAAAGACCACTCTCCCCCAGCTTCAACTTCGCTCCTCAGGCACCACACTCCACTCACCCGGCCGGGCAGAAGCGCCAGCAAGCAGGCGACACCGAGGCTCAAGGCGCGCGGCCTCCAACAGCCTCGGCCGCATAAAATAAAGCAGACCATCCTCGAGGGCGTCTTGGAGTCTCCCGCTTGCTGCGATACGAGGCTTCGGCAATAACCGGCACGGCTCCGAGAATTAGTCCAATGGGAACTACAAGTAAAGCACCGGAAAGACAGACACTCCTCTCCACCCCTTCCGCTGGGCGGTGCCAAGAGCGAGAACACCCTACGAAACCTCCGGGAAACCGCCTTTCCCCGCCCCGTCGAAGTCGGAACCACCAATCGAACCTCTCTACGTCACTGCAGCTCGTCCTTCCTGCAGTGGGCGGGGCTGCGGCGCAGTCACGCCACTGGGGTGCGATATCCCGTTTCCCTGCCCCAAAAACACGCCTGCTGCTTTCTTGGCCGTCTAGACGGTTTCTCTGCTCTGAGGGTGGCAGAGCGTTCCCATGTCTGCTTGCTCCTGTTGTGTTCAGTGCGATACTCAAGAAAACTGTAGGATTGCAGAGTCACTTCGCAGTCACGCCGCCAGCCGCTAAGGAAGTCTGACTCCCCGGGACATTCCGCCCTTTCCAGTTTAATCCTGAACACATTGATTCTGCTGCAATTAATCCTGTTGATAGCTGTAGGCTTTATTCCCAGGGAAATGTGTTTAGGGATTGCAGCCGCACAATACTGGCTATATTTACTTAGGTCCTAAGTCTTAGGAGGAACTGGCATTGATTTATGCAGGGAGATTCCAAGAACGTGCTTGCACCCAATGTTTATCCAGTTCACTGTAAAACTATCGAAATTAATACGAATTAAACTTTTAATTGTTTGATTGCGAGTCGCCTTGAGATGCTATGGCGCGATAGGCGGCATATAAATGTTTTAAATAAATAAAATTAGACTAGCAGTGGATACAACCCACTGAATTTAAGTATGCACGTTGTTCCATGTTTTCTCTTAAACATTTGAGGACCCATAGAAATACTGCTCACAATCTGTTTCTAGCAACTACATCCTTCCGCTTTTTATTCAAGTGTAGGCACAAGGCGCCCGATCCCTTGTGCTAGCTTGGGGATAGCGGTCTTGCAACTGCTCTAGAATACAAATGGTGGGAGATGTAGCTTCAAGATACAGATTTAATGTAATGTCTGTTCTGACCCAGAAGCTGCATATTTCCCAGGAATTTCTTTGTATCCTCACTCCAAAGCTTTTTAAATTGAAAGTGAAGCAAGGAAAAATCCACAGTTTGAAAGTCTATCTCCCAGAGGAAAACGATTCTGCACATGTTCAGGGGCTCTGAGTCTTAAGTGGCATGGTTTTTTTCTGCACTTAAGGTGGCAACTGTCAGAATCCCAGAATCTCAATTTGAAAAGAGGGAATAAAACTTGGGTTCGTGGGAAGGATCAAGTGTCCAAACCATCTAGGCTTTATTGTATTACCCAGGTTCCCCGCAGGTCCATACAATAATGCATTACCGGGCAGGCAGAGTGAACTCTGCTGCAAAGCTTCAATACCATTACAGGGCATTTATAGGTACACAGGTACAGGGCAATTGATGACAGAATGCAGAGATTACAATAAGATTCTGAGGTCATCACATACGGAACAGATAAAGAAATGTCAGTCAATCATACAGTAACAATGAGATTACAATATTTCTAATTGCCTGTATTGACACTTCAGTTCAGTAGCTTGAACCCATCTCCAGGTCTGCTTAGACATGTAAATTCAAGCTCCTGAAACTATGCATGAACTCAAGACTCTTACCTACTCTAGACATTCTGAATTGGCCGGGGCACATGGAGCCTCTGGGCTATCAAAAGATACTTCCTTGTAAACTGAATTCCAACAATGACTATTTACAATGTATATTTGGACTGAATGGCCCGTCTACTGTAGCCCACAGCTAAAGGTGAGAGAAAGGAGCGGGGGAATGCCATTTTAAACAGTGACAGCTTGGTTTTGAGAAGGAAGACAGGATTTGATCCCACAATGCAAAAAGCACACAGGAGTAATGCTTTTCAGACAGGATTTATCCAAATTTTCCCAGCACAATTTTAAATGGATGTTGCCAGATTCTGTTCTGCCCTTGGGACAGCAGAACTGTGTGTGAAATCAAAGTTCAAATACAATGTCCATTTATTTCAGACCTAGATCCCTGAAAACACCACATTTTTGTGAGACCTTCATGCCACACTGTTGTTTTTGTTCAAGCTTACTAAGTTTTGTTTTATTATTTTAAATAAATACATTTTATATGCCGTCCCAATACTAAAATTCTCTAATCATGTGATGTACTTGAATACTCAGTATTGCATGTGTCCAACTCTTGGGTTTTTGAAATCACAAATCTTTCAACTATCTGTAAACAAGCCTGCTTCCTTTATTTTAAAAGTATCATTTCAGGGCATATTTTTTTTCTCCATGTGACATTCATTTTCTGTGTTCTTCAATAGTGTGTGAATCTTTCATAGTACATATAAGAAATATTAATGAATGTGGAACATTTGTGCATATTCTCAGCAACTCTTCATAAGAATGTGATGAAATAGTGCCCACATACGCATGTCTTCAACATGGTCAGTGGTCAAAACATGTCTGATGTGTAGCCAACCAAGTTGCTGGACTTCTCTTACATGATTCATATTCTCATCTGAATGTCCTCATATTACAAAGACATATGGTGGAAAACAGTCAGGCACTACCCATGTATTTGAGTTATATATACATACCACAGAACCACATGAAATAATTACAGAAAATTAGAGCAATTGTGTATACAGGGGCACTTGTGTATGAAGGGGGTCAAAATTACAAAAATTCCTTTACAAATTTAAAATCATGTGCAGGAAAAAATGTTTATAATGTGTAGGTTACATTTTGGCCTGCAATCCTTACATCAGTTATTTTGGATTAAAAGTGTTATAATTCATTCAGAATAACAGGGGTGCAATTCCATAGATTGTACCATTGATTCTCATAAGCCTCAACCCAAAGGCTTTAGAGTATCCTATGCAGGGCAGGAGGAGTTGCAGAGGCAATCTTTACTTACTTATCATTATGCCCTGTATTTTCACTAGTTGCCCTTGCCTGTCTAGTGAAAGTGTTTCAGAGGCGGAGGAAAGGAGGTTGGTGAGGCCTCAGGACAGCTTGTATCCTAGGCTCTCCAGTCAACCTGGCCCCGCTGAAATGCCTGCCCTTCCTCTGCTCTGAGGTCACGTTCCTTTCTACAGTGGTTGTAAGGAGAGGAGCAGTTAGCAGTTAGAACGATTCCCCCTTCTGAGATCAGGGACTGCCAGTAGGGCTGTCTTAACAGCATTATGGGCCCCAGGCAAAGCAGTGTACTTTGGCTATTCACACACTTCTTTCATGAAAGTGAAAGAACAAGCCAGAAAGTCACCCATTAACTATAGTATCCTAGTTCATCTGAACCAGGAAAATATGGTGCTTAGCTTCAGAGCTAGCCAGAATATTAGGTCATGGCAGTCTTAACAGCATTATGGGCCCCGGGCAAAGCAGTGTACTGGGGCCCCTGCGACAACTACAACTACTGTTAATTTTGGAAGTTTTCCCATTTTCCAAGGGTTAACATACACAGATTAGTATGGGGCCCACGGGCAAGTGCCCATCAGGCCCATGCGTTAAGACGGCCCTGACTGCCTGCTTCTTTGGAGCTGTGAATCCAAGATATCCTAGATGCTGTCTAGAGGCCATAGGATTGCTTTTTAAATCAAGTGAACAGAATACTGGCTAAGTTAGATACAGAGAAGAATCCATATATGAGTCTGGATTTGAAAGGTAACTGAAAACAGTGCATCCCGTATGACTATCAAGGACAATTTGTATGAATTTATGCTTAGATAGTACTTAAAGCCAACTGTACTTAGTAAGCTATGTATGCAGGTTGAAGACAAATGCTGGAGGTGTAGCTGAGAAAACAAATGTTTTACATATCTTCTGGACTTATCCCATGAGAGTTTGGTCTACACTGTTGAAAGATTACTTTAATTTGGGGATAAGTACTCCCTAATAACCTGTTAGTAGATATCCTTTTAGATATCTTGAGGGTTTGATTATAGCTGAGGATATGGAAATGATTATTTATTTCTTAGTAGCAGCCGACTCCAATCACTTTGCATCAGAAGAATATTAATCCACTTTCAGTCAATATAGCATGGGATGTGGCCGCTATAGTTAAGATGACTCATGAGCTAAGAGAGAGGGAAGATCAGAAGAAGACTGCTATATAAAAAGTGGGAGTTGTTTTATTATACATTGGAAGAAAGAAACTAGGGAAACATCAAAACATTTTTCTTTAAGGGGGGGGCGGAATTAATGTCAATTGGTTAGGATAGAAAATTGTGTATTTGTTAATATTGCCTTCTAATTCAAGGCAGTTCTTAATTTCAGAATTTTATTATGGTGAGCTATATCTTGTATAGGTATGTTAGGTATCTTGATAGTATGCATTACATAAAATAAAAAGTATGCCCAAACTAAATGCTGAATACAGCAAATATATTATTCACCAAAGCTTTATTAATTTCAGTAATGCTAAAGTGATACAATTTTGGCAATATATTAACAGCTTTACTATATGCTTATTTTCTTGGCCCATCTAATTTCAGTAGATTGTGGCTCTAACTGCATACTCCTTTTCTTAACAGTATTTTATTTAACTAGGTGTGAGCAACTATCATAGAGTTTATTAGCTGTTATGGATCAGAACAGATTTTACTGGACTTGCAGCACTGAGAAATTCAGCCCAATAAGTTGTTTACGCAGGTATAAAGTATGCACACCGCTGACGCAAAGTGGTCTGACTAGTGTTGTAACTGTTAGTCAGGAGCTTCTAATCTATTAACTTGTTTGTAATCTGATTCAAGAGTACAGCCTGAATGAACAGAAGAGCTGGCACGTTTCAGCCAAGGCAACCCAAAATGTTTCGCAACCTAACTATTGGAACCATCTACTGGTGAAAGTAAGAACTGCAGAAAAGGAAACCACGATTCGAAGCATGAGTTGACTGTTGTTTCGATTTTAAATTTTAGGGCTAAAAGAAATACGAATTCCAACTCATTACGAAGAAGCCCAAACTTTCCATTTTGAAATATTCCACTGATCCAAAAAATGAGTGTGGGGAATGTTGCAATAAAACATGCTGCTGTGAACGTACTATGAGCCAGATACATCATTAATTTTCCTATTTTAGATAATTTGCATGAATCTGAGAAACGATAAACCACACTTACTGGGGTTTTGTTGACATTCTTCTAGAACGTCTCTCAGTCAAACAGCAGCTCCAGTTTTGCACTTTCTTCCAATATATATTTCATTTATTCCATTCTTAGAAGTAGGCAACAGTAGCATAAAATAAGTCTTTGAAACTACAGTTTAAGAATTACCAGTATCTATAAAACACATTAAAAGAGGGGTTAATGTTGCAGCAAGCATAACTCCCAAATTTACTGAAAGACCAAATGTTTGTTTTAAAATAAGAATCTTTATCCCTTACCTAATTCACCATGCAATACTAAACAGTATGAAGTTATTCTCTTTGAATTCAGTGTGACTTAACTGATAAATAATCCTGCATAGGATTGCACTGTTAGCTTGCAGTCTTTTTCATGCTTTCCTGGGACACACACACTCCCCCATTTCCCTATATTACATAGGATGCACTTATAAATAACAACTGATTTAGGTAGGTGCAAGAAGCTGCAGAGAAGGGAGAGGGGACTGCTGAAAATTGTCCCTCTCCCCACACTGCTGATAGAAGTCTTCCATCAGCAGAGGAAGCTGGTTAGATCCACCCCCCCCCCCCCGCATTACATGCTTCAAACAGTTATCAGCAGTCACCAGGCTAGCTCCATATCCTGGATCAGCTAAATCTGGATCTAAACTGTCTATAACACCTATGACACCCTGCAGTAGTCCAGAGTTACCTGAGCATGCAAAACAATAGCCTAGGTCCTTATATCACAACTACTATCCAAAATGTATGGCTGTCCTAGCCCCCAAGAGATGGTATAGCCAAATGAAATGGGCAATAAAGAAGGAAGGTCTGAAGTCTGATTATGCATTGGATGTGCAACCATATCACCTTTAGCACTTCCTTGTGGGGGCAGTTTTCAGCATAAAGGAGTGGCTGTTCTTAGGAAGGATCAATCATAGCTTTTGCCAGGCACTTGTTAATTAGCACAGAAATTCTGCAGCAAAAATCTTGAGGAATATAGGTACTGCCTGAGTGACTATGATTTTTCTATATTTCCAGTTCCTGTAGGCTATATACAAGAAGCAGAATAGGTTTTGTTTATGTACTCTGTATTTATATCCTGCCCTTTTTCAAGAAACTCATGGTGGCTTCCTTCTCTGAATCTTATCTCATAATAACCATCTTGCAAGATAGGTTGGGCTAAGACTTTGTGACTGGCCCAAACTCGCTTAATTAGCTCCATAGCTAAGTGGGAATTAGTACCCAGATCTCCTGAGTCCCAGTCCTGTGCTCTTAACCACTACACCACACTTGTTCTTACCACACTGAAATTTTAAGTTATTTCCCTGATTTCTGTGCCTTACCCTGACAAGGCCAGTTGGTGCCTTTCATCTCCTTGATTCTGAATCACAGGAGAAACAACTGTTCATATTTCAAAACATGAAATTTTGTGTGCCCCTCTTACAATTCTGTGACCTTTGACAAGACCTTTGACCACCCAACCATGGTTAGATAAAGAATGTTGGAAAACTCCTTTGCAGTTCCTCACTGGGGAAGGTACTACAAAATGGCTCATGCTTCTCTTTTCAACAAAAAGACCAAGGCCCAAAGAAGCAATCTTACAAACATCCAGCCAGAGGAAAGCAAACTTTCTGCACATAGCACCCAGCACCCATTACACACATGCAAATAGACCAAGTAACACTTATAAATGATTTCATCATTTAAGCCACAGTCATCAGACCTTATCTGACATGGCCTTGCCCCATGCACATAACACAAGGAATCTTCTGACTAGGAAGTGAGGAACTTAATAGGGCAGGGGAGATTAGCTACTAACCTCCATTTAAATTGACAGCACAGATGTCAAGAGGCTTTCAAGTTGAGATCCATCAGCATTTGCAGGTAGAGGGCATAGGATCACTATGGAATATAGTGCTGATGGCTTCTGGTCCCTAGAGAGGGAGACTTGCATTACCAAGGTGAAACGCAATAGGAGACAGCTGTTCTCAAATGTGACAGGATTTTCCAGATGAGGGCTAGGTGATAGTGCTCAGGCATGCATCTGACAATTGGGGGCTAAATAATTTGGCAGACAAAATGGGAGGGCTAATGTATTGCTACTTGATGGCGGGTATCTTTAGAAGATCACTGCTGATCAATCTTTTTAAAGCTGGTGATGTTTTGGTAAACAATTCTGGTTGTGGCCTCTGGGTATCCGATAGCTAGCAGTGTATTTTGCTCAATGCACAGTATGGCAGATATGATTGGGAACTGCAGACAGAACTGTTACCACACCTTTTTTTCCTGAATTGCTATTTATAGGTTTTGCAATCCACATGTGCATGGAAAGGTTAACTCAAGCAATGGCAGAATGGGGCATTCATTGTGATGAAAGAGGCTTTCAATCATATGTACCAGCTTGCTGTTTTGGCAGCAAAACTCCCTATGTAGGGATACTGGGATGCAACAGATAGATTCACTTGTGAGTAGTTGTGCCAGTTTGCTGTTTCAAGAGCTTGATTAAAACATGTATAAATACCAGATGTATTTGTAAGTAAGTAACCCAGATTGCTGCTTGAATCACCATTCGTATAATATCTGTGCACAGATTTCAAGGAAATTTGCAAGAAAGCTAGTGCCTCTAATGAGAACTCATATAATTAAATCCAGAACTGGACTTCTAACCAGGAATATCAGTCAGCTTAAGTGCACAGATGAATATTTGAGTGAAAATTCAAGAACATAGCATGAGCTAGAAAATAAAGTTATGCTCATATTCTATTTGCAAAACAAATACTTCTCACCATGTGCAAATGAAGAAGCAAAAGCAAATTAGGTAATCTTTTAATTCTAATGATTCCAAGGAAAAGTAGCTTGAACTGTGACACTGGAGGAAAGAAATTAAATGCACACGGTTTGGCAAAGACACAGTATTATGCAGAGATATGAGGAAAGCAGGACTCAGTCTGGAAAACCCTTTCAAGCAAGTACAGATGTGCTGTTAACAGAGGACAACTGAATTCATTCCCACCCGTACATGCTTGCATGTATTGCTGCGAAACACAGCTATGCTTTATATCTTTGGTTGTTATGAACAGAGTCTTAACTGTTGTTCTCACTGTACAGTACAGTACACCTAGGATTCCACCAAAGTATTTTACAAGTACCCTCTCCCTCCCACTCTCCTTTTTGTGGGGAAAATGGGGTAGGGAGCATGTATTTGTGCGTGCTTTATTCTGGATCACTTTTGTTCTCTTATTTTTTTTACAGGGCACTGCTATGCGTCAAACTGTACATCATTGTTTCCCTATAATTCTTTTACTTCTTTTCAAACCAAAAAAAAATCTTTTGTGGGGAAAGCATGGAACAGTACTACAATCTGCACCTTTGTGCTGTGGGGCTGAGCCAATCAACACCCAAACTTCCATTTGAATCTACACTTCAACATAGCAGGGAGTACAATTGCCTCTCCTCTCATTGCCATGTTGGTGGTGGTTTTTCTCTTTTTAAAATTCTTATTTAATTTGTATGAGGACATTTGTTTTACCTAGCTGTGTATGTAATTATATTAGATACATACTGGAACTTAAATGAAAATGTGGATTAGTTCAATTTGAAAAAAAATATGTTATTTTTTTAAATCAATTCCTTTCTAGTTAGCAATACTTTAGAACTGTTTTTATTCCCCCACCCAGTCTTTTACTTTGTGCTAAAATATTTAAGCTTATTTATATTTAAAGTGGTTACAGTAATAGAACTAAATAAAACTAAAATCAGGGATGGGAAACTTAAGATGTTTGGGTCTACAATCTTACCTATTCTGCATAGTCAATGGTGAAGACTGGGGAATCATAGCCCAAACATCTGAAAGACCACCCTGTCTTAAATGGAGAGTGTTATAGCATATTTTTAATGCTTAAAATATTAAAATGGCAGGTTCATATATTTTTTTGACACAACCATCAGAGTGGATAGAACATAATAGGCGGTACATGCATGAAAAGCACTATATTCTTAGAAGTATGGAAAGTCCATTGCAATTCGCTATGTCCCCTTCAGGCACTGGAAGGAAATGAGATTATTTGACAAGCACAACTGATCTAAAATGGTACAGTACTAGATGCTACAAACTTTTGGGCTGTTTAATGCACCTATTTTTATTTTCATTCAAGCACTGAAGGCCAGCTATTTTAAATGGATTATTTGTATATTGCAAATCATAATTTAAATGCTCTCACAAAAGGAATATAGACTCAGATTTTGCAATACAATTAAGGTCCCACATATCTATCCAAGACTTATTGCACCACTATGTTACTTAGTCACACCATGGATCAGATATATCAGCATTATTACAAGTATTTATGATGAACATACATGTTCTAAAACTTACATACATATGCATTGTTTCTGATACAGAGGTTCATGTTTATTTTATTAGATTTTTAGCCTGCCCCATTAGCCACATGGCTCCCCAGGCAGATTACAGACAATGTTCCTGTTGGGAAAAGTATGAATGTTGTAATGTTCCTGTGGTGGCCTGCTAAATGTAATTCTTCTTCCATAAACACACAAGCTGATGGAACCGTTCTGTCCTACCTTTCACATGCATAGCTAATTATCATCATCATCTCCTGGTTTTAAGAAATACTGGAAAAAGTAGTCCTAACTTCTATTAACAGAAGTGTAGACATACAAGAAGATGCTCAGAGGAAGACAACAAGGATAATCAAGGGGCTGGAAACAAAGCCCTATAAAGAGACAGCTTTAATTTGGAGTCCCATATTGAGCAGGGGCCTGGACTCAATGGCTTGATAGGCTGTTTTCAACTCTATAGTCTATGATTCTGTGACATCAGTCTTCCATTGCAGGCTAAAACCTTGAACTGATAATATCAATTGAAACTGTTTAATTTAATGCCTCCCCTGTGTGAACCTAATCATTATATAGCCCATAATTTAAAGTACTGTATAGCTGTGTGGGTAGACTCTTTTTCATTTCTGAAAATGTGCTATCTTTAAGCATGAGAGGAAATGTAAAATGTTGGCAAGGACCCTCTATTCCATTCTGGTTGTTAAAATTCATTTAATCTGGTTTCCTATTGTGTCAATTTATATCTCACTTCTTTTAGATTCACCAAACAAGGGTGGATTGGAGCTGTGTCTGAATAGGTGACAGTCCTCTCCTAAGAAAAATGGTCTGTTACAGTAAGTCATCTTGCCATACAAGTATGATTACAAGGCCTCTCCAGATGTTTTGGATTAGTTACCATAATCCCTGCATCTGGTGGGAACTGGAGGGCCCCAGTTTAGTTTGCCCATTATACTGAATCAGACCATTTCCCTGCCTAGATGCAGTATTGTCTACACCCAGGAGTAGGCAACGTGTACCTTCCTACATTTTGGATCACTTTCCCAGTCTGACTGCTGGCTGCTTTTTATGGGAATTATCATCCAAATCAGGGGACACTCCCCTGGTCTACACTGACTAGTAATGTCTCTCCAGGGTTTCAGGCAGTGGCCTTTCCCACCACTTCCTGAAGCTCATTTAGCAGGTATGCATTTTCCTTCTGCATCAGTGCAAGGTGAGTATGAAATCCAGTATTTCCAGAACCTAAGCATCTTTGCTTTCCTTGGCAAGTTCCACGGCAAAAGAGTTGTCAAACTTCTTAACTCAGTAACTTTTAAAGAACCAGATCCCCTGCCTAGATTTAGAAATCTACAGGAAATTCTGTTTGCATTCCACAAAAGAGTTGATTTGGAAAGGCATTAGCTATCACTGTTGACAGAATGCCAACCAATGTATCTTCCCATAGCAATTTATAAACAAGATCATTTGTACAAAATCATCATGTTAAAGAATCATACTGCATGTTGTTACTGTATTGGTTACTTTCAAAAAATTAATTAGACCCTTGTATCTCAACCTTCCATCAAGAAATAAAAAAAATGGAAAGCAGCTCAGAACTTGTAACATCAGATACCAGCGATTATGAATGCAATGTTTTCAGCTCCACATACATTTTTAAAAACCCTATACTCTATTTAAAGTGCTTAAGACAATTAAATACATGATATCACAGCATTCATAGCAACAGCATTGCAGTAATAAGAACTCACTAAAGCAGTTTCCTCTTTTATCTTATACTAACTGGAAAGCAAACTGCTCCAACATACGTCTGACAATCAAATAAGCATTGCTTTGTTAGCAAAAGTGCAGCTGTGTTTACAATTTACTAGAGAATTATTTCTTTTCCTCTAGATAAGGCTCTTGTATTTATAAGTGCTATAGTTACCATCCTTCAGATCAGCAGTGTACCTCAAAATGAATCACACAAAAATACAGTGATTTTTAAATTATTAGTACCTAGGTAATAGTGCAATAAATCAATTGAATTTTTAGTCTGCAGTTTTTGAAAAGGCATTTTACATTCCTGGCCACTAAAACTTCATCCATAAACTAACATACGTTTAAAAGCAGATAGCATGAATATTATGTCTAGATACTGAATTATGAAACCACAATTCACAGGGATAGGATTATTTTTATTTAAAATTATTTTAGGCCATCTTTAAGGGTAAAACCCTTTATATCATGAACACATTCATGAGTGAAGTAGTATGTGGCGTTATCAGCAACATCTGTGACTGTTAGAAAAACAATCTGCTGCACAGGTAAGTTTTGTGTGTGTTTGTTTTTTAAAGCACCATTTATTAGTGTGACTTCCTACATCATTGGTGTTGCGTTTGTTCTGCAGGACATCTGCCCCATGATTCTAAGCATGTCCAAAGCACAATGCTGCTGAATACCAAGCACATTTTATGAAAAGCAGGTTAATATCACCAATATGGTGGTATTCATGACTAAAATATGTTGCAGACTGGTATCAAGTTAGATTGATACTTCATTTATTTGATTATCAGTCCCAGTACTTTGCCCCTGCTCATCAGTTTGAAAATCTAGTAGAATGTGTGGGGTCTGTGTTTTCAAATATATGTATTCCAAATATTAATAGAATGCTGAATGAGGCAAACTTATTCTGTGGAAGCAAACCAAGAATACATTATAATAAAGAAGTAAGCTTTTCAGATTAGATATGGTAGATTTCAGCATTTTATATATGAGCTGATAAGTTTAGTAACTCATTTAGTTTAGTTTAGTAAGCCACACAATTTCCAGAGGGTAGTTGTTACTCTTGCACAAAAATAATGAAGAGTCTTGTGGCACTTTTAAAGACTAACGGATTTATTCTGGCATTAATTATCAAGGAGTATATATAGCCTCTTTCATCAGACACCTGAACTATTGTGGAAACTTTCAGGTGGCATGTGGTGATAAGAATGGTAAGTTCATAAGGAACACAAATAAAATCCTGGGAGGACTCAAAAGCCCACACACTGATAGGAATTTTGGTTGACCCCGGTAAAGAACTAAAGTTGGACAGAACTCGGTGGATGTTTTTTATACCATTTAGCCTGATAAAAAGTTCTGGAGAGCTACAGGTGTAAAGATAGACAAGTATGTGGATGATGTAATTATTCTGGATGGTGACTGTAGAGTGGAGGGCCAGCTCCCACATGTTATAGCCTGCTCAGATAGATCCACCTGATTCTGAGGAGGAGATAAAGGGGCAGATGACTTGGCAGTTTGAGGTTACCAAGGGCAAGTTCTCAAATACAGCATGAGAAACAGCTTGGCTTGGAAAAGGAAGAAGGCATTTCAGAACTGGGTGGGGAAGAGATGGAGTCCCTTGACCCTGCCAGGAGAGGACAGGCAAAGTGAGTGGACCAGTTAAGAAGAGGCCAATGTTTCCAGCATCTAGCCCTCAAGCAGCAGGTGTCACCCTGACGGTGGAGTTAGAATCTTTTCTGAAAGGGAGGGAAGGAAGGCACAGTTTGGACGGTTCAGTTTGAATTCATCTCTTCACATGGGCAGATGGTTCTCCCACATCCTGAGAACACCACTTTGATTTATACTGTACTGTAACCAATTAATATATTTTTTAAATCCTCTAATAAAAGGATTGTGCTTCTAAGTTCCCACTGGAGGAAAGAGAGAGGGAAAACTTGCTTACAATAGACAGTTAAAGCAGACTGCAAAGAGCTCGAAAAGGGACACAAAATGGCAAATGCAATGGTGCTGCTGCTTTGATGCCAGGCAGTTCAGGAGGGCCTGGAACAAGTCTTTGGCATGTGGTAACGGCTTCCCTTGCTGCCACTTCACTGTCAAAGGAATGGTGGTGGTGATGGTTAACCTGCACAGCATGTTGTTTTAAATAAAAGGTAGTTTCATTTGCTAATTGTGAGTAATAGCTATCTGAACTAATCAGATGCTGCTTTTGCTGCTCCTGTCCCCTCACTGGCTATTAAATAGAAATAGAAATATTTCTATTTAAAATGGCAAGTGGTGAGGCTGCTGCTTCGACCAGCTGGCTGCCAGTGCTGCAGCATTTTCTTCAGTCACACAACAGCCATAAGAGGAGGAGCTAGAATGCAAAAAAAGCAGGCACTGTGGAAAGTTCCTTAGAAGGCACCTCACCAGAGGACTCCTCAAACCTGGTGGCACCTTAACAGGTTTTCTGCAGCAAGAGAAAAGAGAGTAGTAGTTGTGGGAAAACATGGGAGAGTTTTCCTAAAATTCTGTGAATGAGGCAGGGTGATAGCACCATAAGCACCTCATTTGGAAGCACCAAAACAACATATTCCATCTTAGTTTATTTTTTCTCTGAACAGCAAGTGTATACAAAGAATAATATATCCTAGACTGCTTTGAATGCTTTGGGACTACTTATTAATGAAGAAGTTTACCCATCATATTCAGTTGTCAAAAGTCATGCATAACTTGAACTTGTTTATACGAGCATATGTGTGTACCTGCTTTTGTGCTATAACCCAGCCTGAAGCCACTCCAGATTATATTGCCGACCTAGCAAGAGCTTGAAAATGTGGCAATTTTGTACTCTATGAATCCTAACTAAATTGGCTGGGTTTGATTGTTTTCTTCAACTTTTTCTAGCCGTGTTCACTGTATTGAAAAAAATAAAATAAAATGCTGTTTAAAACAGGCTTCCAACAATGCTAAATAATGTGTATGTAAAATGAAATCTTTCCTTTTGCCTAATTTATGAATCTTTATTCCAGAATGAAGGTTAATGCATTCATGAATTGATCAAGATTTTGGAAGCATGTACTTGCTTTCATATGTGTGGGATTAATTTGCCTACTGTTGCTTTTGTTCACTGCAGTTCCAAGAGACCTGGGCAATCATTACATTTTTGTTTGATACATGGGACCTGTATAAGGGCCAAATCATACACCAGGGGTGCCGAACTGAACACCCAAGCCCCAAATCCATCCCTCTCAGGTTACAACCTGGCTCTCTGGACTTTCCCAGGTGGTCACACACCTTCCCTTGACCCATCCTCTTTTCCCCAGCCACTGATTGTTCAGTGGCTTCCTGGCTTTTGTGTAGTTTTTCTCCTATTCTAAAAGGCTGACACATTTCTCCTGAGGCTTAGTTACGATCAGTAAAAATAAGATAAAATATGCTGTTACTTTTGATATATCCCCCCCCCACCATTGAAATACAGTCATGAGAGCTCTCCAAAATGAGATTCAGCTCCCTGACATACATTATCCTTTGAGGATTTAGAATTTAGTAAAATTTAATTTGCTCTGTAACTTGCTCTGGATAAATATTATGAAGCCCAGTATAAAAATGCCTTAATTTCAATAAAAGAATGAAAGAATAAATAAAAACAACTATCTGGGTGATAAGCAATCTACATAGAGATCACCACACTGTGGCTTTTTGGGCAGTAAAACTCATTCATAGGGGACTTCAGTATTACATGCTAGGTAAGTATACAGTCCTACTATGATGGTGACATTTCAGCAGTGCTGGAACTTAGCAAGTGACCGCTGCAACTGAATGCCCCACAACTTTATTGCAAACCTTCATAACACCAATGTGCAAAAGGAAGAGGTCAAAATAATTGTTACAAGGTTGGCTGATGTTGTATGGGAAACCAAACCGTTGGTGCCAGCAATGTACCATACTACTTGCAGGGCATGAGAACGGTTCACACTAAACCAGGTCTGGTCAAATTATTTTTTAAATAATGCTTAGACCTCAGAATAGCCACAGGACCACTGGAAAGGCCTGTGCAAGTTTTGGGACGGTTTACTTCAAGAAATTAATAAAGCTACAGCAACGAGGGAAGCTACTCCGCTATATTAAGGGCTGTTAGGAAAGCTACTTCAGGAATTCATTCCTCTCTGCATTGAAGCTGTGACAAAAAACTGGTGAGCTTAGTTGCATAATGCTTTGCCAGTGCCACACCATGGAGAATCCTGACCTCATTCACAGAATAACATCCATAATTTTCTTGATTCTCAGTAATACATTTCCAGTTCTGCAGGAAAGCCGGCATTGTTTGAGGGCTAGCCTGGACAGGACTCTTCAGCTCTCTCAAGATGCAAAGCTGCCTTAGCTCCTTCAGTGCTTTTCTTTGGACTTCAGGATCCGTAGGATGCGCTCATTTTTCGTTAAGTCTGAAGGCAGTTCATTTTTCTAAAACAAACAAACAAACCAGTTGGAAACCAGAGAGAAGATTTTCACCATTTGGCTTGAAGGGACTCAAGTTCAAGAAACACCACCCAAAGGACCACCTTCATCTAACTTTGGACTATGTTCTTATTATTTAAGGATATATCTGTACAGTATTATTGGGCCTTTCAGCTGGGTTGTTTAATAAAATCTATGTTTCTATGCCAGCTTGTGATAAGTGTTCAGAATGCAACAACAAAACAATTAGCAGAAAAAGAATGCATGAATCTGGCATATGCAAATACACATATTAGAACCAGTTTGTTTTAGCTTATATATAAACAACTTGAAGGATTAGAAGAGGACCTTTATTCTAGAGATAATGGGGTAACTGCCAAAAATACAGCCGCACACTTGTATATTGGTCACAGGTCAAGCAGGATTACATAATCTCACAAATATGTATTTATGCTGTTAATTCAAATTTTAGGAATTTGTGGCTTCAGTTTTATGCACACTTACGGAAAGCAGCGGGACTTCCTACAAATACTGCTTAATGTTCATTTTTAACTGCAGCAATCTTTTCTGAAAGCCACTGGACTGAAAAGTAGGTTATCAAATAATTTTAATGAAAGACATCACATTTACAGGACCATTTAACCATTTAGTGAGAGTGCAAAAAGGTTAATTCGCACACACATGACAGCCTCTTAGTGTAATCCTCTGGTTTTTAAGTTTTGCCTGGACAGTTTCAGTGCCCCACATTTTCCCACATTCTCCAAGCCTTTATGTAATCCTGAAAGGGCAGGTCTACATTCCACCTCCTTTTGCAAGCACTTACTTCTGACAGTTGTCAAAGGAATGGATTATTTAAAGCAGAAAAACCTACTTTGTAAAGTTGAGTATTTGTTTTAGCATAGGAAAATATATGTATGCACTCTAACCCTAACCCTGTCCAAAAAGATGCTCACATGCAGGCAAAGTTGCACCAAGAACAAAGGCCTGCTTAGTAATGTTAATGTAATCCTGTCAGAGTGAAGTGCTGAACTAACACATCTCAGTGCCCTACATCTTTTCAACACTACCCTGAGTCACCAGCTATTCCAGAAAGGGGAGATGTTAACTCCTCACAATCTCTTGTGGCTTCTTCTAGGAGTACTCACACGCTGAAATACAAAACCAACTTATTTTTGACATTGCATTTATATTTGAATTTAACATGCAAAGAAGGTAAACTGCATCAGTGGAGCAAGGAAGCTGCTAGTTATTAGGGCAGGCATGGATGTCAATGGGAGAATTCCCACCAATGAAATTGTTGTTGTTGTTATTCCCACCAAAGGAGTTTTCTCAGGATCTCAGAATGGGAGGGAGGACAAAATTTCTTTTCTATGCCTGCTCTGATTCCAAATAATTACCATATACTCCCAGCTGATATAAATTGCATTTTAAGAACATTTCAGATTAATGCCAAGATGCATTTAACATCAGGTATAAACCTGGCTTTCTAGGCTTAAAAAACTGTGTTTTCTTTTAAGTGCCTTATGCCATGTACAAATGCTAACTCAGTTTGCACATTGTAAGAATCCACAGCTAAATCATGGTTCCAGCTTTTGAGTTGCTATCTGTCAACATCCCAGAATGCCAGGTTCTGCTGTCATGATTATTTTAATGTGGGAGGGTGGGAACCAGCATGTCCTCCTTATCTTTTGAAGACTTGTTCTCACTCAGTTTGCTAACTACTGTTTTTTACAACATGCAAACTGGGGCATTGTGTGCATTGTGCTTATAGGGATAGATGTGGAGACTATAAAACTAAGCTATATTCCAGAAAACTAATTAGCAGTGCCTTTGACACTCAGCTGCTTTAAGATGCTCACATTCACCATTAGACTCTACTATCATTAAAACTAATGCTGTAATGCATCACATTTGGGCTTGCCTTAGGAAGCCCAAGTAACAGGAACAGCAGGCATGAATTCCTATGTCCCTATCCAAAGCCTTGTTTAGAAAACCTGTTTAAAAGGAATCAACATTTTGACAGTTAACTCCCTAGAATACAGTTAGAGCTTGTATATAATGGAATCTTCTGAAACAGGAGAAGAACTTTATAAAATTCATGTAAGAAGTGCTGTCCTTTTCTTTCAGCCCTAGAAAAAGAACTGATGTGTTATTTATTATAGAATAGTAGAGTTGGAAGGGGCCATGAAGGCCATCAAGTCCAACCCCCTGCTGTTGCAGGACACCAAGTCACACCATCCCACTCAGATGGCTGCCCAGTTTCACCTTGAATACCCATAGTGTGCGAGAGCCCACCACCTCTCCAGGTAGCTGGTTCCACTGTCATTATCCAGACCACTTTGGAGGTCCACAGAGCATACTCTTGCCTATTCAGGGAATGTAAGCCAAAGATAAGGGGAATGTAAGCTTTCTTTGTTTATATTTTGCATTCATATTTCATCATTGTATACAATGAATTGCTTATCATCTTTGATGCGGGTGGCTTCATTTCTACCTCAGTATCCTTGAATCTAGCATGAAGCTCTTTGCTTGGGCCAGGCTCCTGCAATTACACTATCTTCCAATGAAGATTTTAATAACACGGAGAATGCATTTTCTATTGTTTGCTGTAATGAATGGTCCCCAGTTAAATTCTTAAAATTTTCCATGAAGAGTTCCATTCCGGTGTTGAAAAACTAAGTGCAAGAGTTTCCAAAGGCCTATCAGTCTTAAAGCAAACCAATACTACCTTATTCCTAAGCCAAGGGTCTGCTCCTGCTTCCAAGAGGAGTGCTACTGCTCTGGCATTGCCACCAAGAACAGCTGCATGGAGAGCAGATGTTCCATTCTAAGAAATACAGAAAGATATAAATATCCGTGAATGAATGAATGAATGAATGAATGAATGAATGAATGATACATTTTGTTGTTAGTCGTGAAGTCGTGTCCGACCCATCGTGACCCCATGGACAACATTCCTCCAGGCCTTCCTGTCCTCCACCATCTCCCAGAGTCCACTTAAGCTCACGCTGACTGCTTCAATGACTCCATCTAGCCACCTCATTCTCTGCCGTCCCCTTCTTCTTTTGCCATCTATTGTTCCCAGCATTAGGCTTTTCTCCAAGGAGTCCTTCCTTCTCATTAGTTGGCCAAAGTATTTGAGTTTCATCTTCAGGATCTGGCCTTCTAAAGAGCAGTCAGGGTTGATCTCCTTTAGGACTGACCAGTTTGATCACCTTACGGTCCAAGGGACTCGCAGGAGTCTCCTCCAGCACCACAATTCAAAGGCCTCAGTCCTTTGGCACTCAGCCTTCCTTATGGTCCAGCTTTCACAGCCATACATTCCAACTGGGAAAACCATAGCCTTGACTATACGCACTTTTGTCGGCAGGGTGATGTCTCTGCTTTTTAGTATGCTGTCTAGATTTGCCATAGCTTTCCTCCCCAGGAGCAAGCATCTTTTAATTTCTCGGCTGCAGTCCCCGTCTGCGGTGATCTTGGAGCCCAGGAAAATAAAATCTGTCACTACCTCCATTTGTTCCCCATCTATTTGCCAGAAAGTGAGAGGACCGGATGCCATGATCTTAGTTTTCTTAATGTTGGGTTTCAAGCCAACTTTTGTGCTCTCCTCCTTCACTCACATCAAGAGGTTCTTTAGTTCCTCTTCACTTTCTGCCATTAGAGTGGTATCATCTGCATATCTGAGGTTGTTGATATTTCTCCCAGCAATCTTAATTTCAACTGGTGATTCATCTAGCCCCGCCTTTCTCATGATGTGCTCTGCATATAAGTTAAATAGGTGGGGCGAAAGTATACAGCCTTGCCAAACTCCTTTCTCAATTTTGAACCAATTAGTGGTTCCGTGTCCAGTTCTTACTGTTGCTTCTTGACCCACATATAGGTTTCTCAAGAGACAAATAAGATGGTCTGGTACTCCCATCTCTTTAAGAACTTGCCACGATATGTTGTGATCCACACAATCAAAGGCTTTAGCATAGTCAATGAAGCAGAAGTAGATGTTTTTCTGGAACTTCCTAGCTTTCTCCATGATCCAGCGTATATTGGCAATTTGACCTCTAGTTCCTCTCCCTCTTCAAAATCCTTCCTGTACTTCTGGTAGTTCTTGGTCCACATATTGCTGAAGCCTAGCTTGTAGAATTTTGAGCATCACTTCGCTAGCATGTGAAATGAGTGCAATGGTGTGGTAGTTTGAACATTCTTTGGCATTGCCCTTCTTTGGGATTGGAATGTAAACTGACCTTTTCCAATCCTGTGGCCACTGTTGAGTTTTCCAAATTTGCTGGCATATTGAGTGTAGCACTTTTACTGCCTCATCTTTTAAAATTTTGAATAGCTCAGCTGGAATTCTGTCACCTCCACTAGCTTTGTTGTTGCACAGACTTCCTAAGTCCCATTTGACTTCACATTCCTTGATGTCTGGCTCGAGGTCAGTGACCACCCCATCGTGGTTACAAGGGACATTAAGCTCTTTCTTGTATAGTTCCTCTGTGCAATCTTGCCACCTCTTCTTAATCTCTTCTGCCTCTGTTAGGTCCCTACCATTTTGATCCTTTATCATGCCCATCTTTGCATGAAACGTTCCCTTCATATCTCCAATTTTCTTGAAGAGATCTCTGGTCCTCCCTATTCTATTTTCTTCTATTTCTTTGCACTGTTCATTGAAGAAGGCATTCTTATCTCTTCTAGCTATTCTCTGGAATTCTGCATTCAATTGGGTGTATCTTTCTTTTTCTCCATTGCCTTTTCCTTCCCTTCTTTCCTCAGCTATTTGTAAAGCTTCCTCAGACAGCCATCTTGCTTTCTTGCATTTCTTTTTCTTTGGGATGGTTTTAGTTGCTGCCTCTTGTACAATGTTGCAAACCTCCGTCCATAGTTCTTCAGGCACTCTGTCTATCAGATCTAATTCCTTAAATCCATTTGTCACCTCTACTGTATATTCATCAGGGATATGATTTAGGTCACACCTGAGTGGCCTAGTGCTTTTCCTTACTTTCTTCAATTTAAGCCTAAATTTTGCAACAAGAAGCTTATGATCTGAGCCACAGTCAGCTCCTGGTCTAGTTTTTACTGACTGTATGGAGCTTCTCCATCTTTGGCTGCAGAGCACATAGTCAATCTGATTTCTGTGTTGACCGTCTGGTGATGTCCATGTGTAGAGTCATCTCTTGGGTTGTTGGAAAAGAGTGTTTGCTATGACCATCATATTCTCTTGACAAAATTCTACCAACCTGTGCCCTGCTTCATTTTGTACTCCAAGGCCAAACTTGCCTGTTATTCCAGTTATCTTTTGGCTTCCTACTTTAGCATTCCAATCCCTCATGATGATTAGGACATCATTTTTTGGTGTTAATTCTAGAAGGTGTTGTAGGCCTTCATAGAACTGGTCAATTTCAGCCTCTTCAGCACCAGTGGTTGGGGCATAGACTTGGACTACTGTGATATTGAATGGTTTGCCTTGGATTCGAACTGAGATCATTCTGTCATTTTGGAGATTGTATCCCAGTACTGCTTTTCCTACTCTTTTATTGACTACGAAGGCTACTTCATTTCTTCTGAGGGATTCTTGCCCGCACTAGGATACCTGATGGTCGCTTCATTCTTTCTGGCGCTACTAGTACTAGCCCTCTGCTCTTCCCCAGTAGCATATTGGACACCTTCCGACCTGAGGGGCTCATCTTCCGGCCTCATATCTTTTTGCCTATTGGTACTGTCCATGGGGTTTTCATGGCAAAGATACTGGAGTGGGTTGCCATTTCCTTCTCCAGTGGATCACATTTTGTCAGAGCTCTCTGCAACTGAAACTAAAATACAATATCAAAACAGTTCCGATTACAATAATAACACAAAGAAGTACAAGGAACAGTAAAATGGAGGCAGGATTATTAATTATAAGCCAGTTAAAGCCCAGGTGAATAGCTGCAATTTCAGGAGGCATTTGAAACATGCCACTTTTTCTGTCTCTTGAACTGCATGGGCCAGAGTTTTCCAAAGCATGGGTGCTGCTACCAAGGTTCTGCATGATGGCATTCCATTGATTTCAAGGTGTCCATTTGCAGCATATGCTGTGAAGAATGAAGCACCTCAAATTTTTATCAGTGATTAGGAAATGGGTCAAGAGGAAAAGGGAAAGCAGCTTTTTTCATAGGTTTCCAAAACAGAAAAAGGTTCTGGCTTTGGCAGTAAATTTATTCTATTCTATTTGAAGATCCAGTAATTATTCTGGACCTACTTTATGGGTTTGAGCACCAGAGCATAGTGAGATAGTATCTAAGTAACTTACAATCTAGGCATGAAATGAATAATTTTATGTGGCTGCCCCATAGAAATTAGCATGTGTATCTACAGAAGGGATGTTTTGGTCTACTGTTCCTATAGTTGTAGGCAGCCTTGCCAATGGTGAGGGATGATGTGAGCTGTAGGCAAGACACCTGGAGGGCCTAAAATTGCTCACCACTTTCCTACAGTATATAAGACTGCAATCCTATACAGATGTACCTGGAAGTAAGTTCTATTGAATTCATGCAAGGGATTGCACTGCAAGTAAATTATAGTAAGCACCCCAAAGATGTTTTGGTACTTGCCTTCAATAAACCAAGGGCAGGGGAGAATTTAAGTAATTCTTCTATAACATCACTATATCCTTTGCTTGCAGCTTTAAGTAAAGCCGTTGTGCCATCCTTCAACAGAAAGAAAGAGAAAATAAGTTGGATATGTTCTTTTCATGACTCTCTCTCTCTGGAATTCATACAGGAAGCTTTCACCCATTCACAGTTAGCTCCTGTTGAGAGATGACTGGGATGTGATTTTCTGTACATGAAGGCCATGAGACTCATTACTAAATATATTAAGTAAAGACATGTTGGAACACGAGGCAGTTCAAAAAAATTAAAAATCCACAACTAAAATGTCACAAAAGAACACACACATTTTGTATTTTTCCATAGCTTTTCAACAGGCTAGGTGGCCAAAGGGGGAAGAAACAAAAGTAGTCACTACTAGGTAGCGCACACATCCAACTCATGACAATATTAGCAAAGCTGGAAATTAATTTTAGGTAGTGCACTAGGCAGTGATATGTGATGAATCCATTTGATTTGCTTGGCTCAGCTCCTTGGACAACAGCCGACATTTTCTCTGCCTTAAGTCCACCTTCTACTGAGTATTCACATGGGCATCTGGCAAAAAGTGAGTCTAATGAGTCCATTAGGCCAGCTTGCATATACACTGCCCACTGCGGGCACACCTCTGTGCAAGCAGAGTTCTGTTTCCACACATGTGGCTGTGGGAACTTTCTGTGAAGAACGGGCACTTCGGGTCCTTTTGCAAAGATGGAGCCCACCAGTGGTTCCAAGTGTTCACAGACTTCATCTTGGTTCAGCTTGCTCCCTGGCCAGGGCTGAGTACTGAAAGAAATCCACTATGTACAAATGAGCTAAATTCTGGCCAGAGCTTCACATCCCTAGCACTAGGTAAATTGATTGCATGCCGTCCTGAGATGCCATGCATATAAAAGTCTCAAACAAACAAACAAACAAACAAACAAACAAATCAAGTGAAACTGAGTTGTGTTGTCTTGCCTACTAGTTGGACAGTATATAGAGGTGATGGAGGACAATCTCTCCGCTGATTGTGAGAATCCTTCACAGGCAACAGAGGAAGAAAGGCTGCCTTCTGGATGGAGCACTTCCACTAGCATTACCTCCTCTCTGTTCACCTCCCCACTCTTCCCCTTCTTTGGCTGCAGAAGGAGCTCCATCTGCCTTGCCTTGTCTTCTCTTCTTTCAGCATGAAGCAGGTGTTTGCTAGCAACAGTAAAAAAAAGCCAGTAGCTGACAAGCATTGCTTAACACCTACTGTTTTACTTCTGCCACAACTTATCTGGGGAAATGAATGGATCAATGCTCCTTCGCATTATTCCATTTGAAGCCTTAAAGGCACTGGGTGAGTTTGCACCCCACAATTAGCTTCAGCTCAAGAGGGGTGCATGTTGCTACCATTCTGAATATGCAACCTCCTTTCAGGGCAAGAGGGGGTTATGGTGTGTCAGGCAAACCGGCCAATGTGAATTAATTGAGTGTTAAAAATTTTACACTTCACCAACAACCTATTCATTTATTTCACTGCATTGGTATGCCACCCCATAGCCAGAGGCCAATTGAGTACAACTACTTCCCCACATGTGCTGCAATTGACTAACAATAGCCCACTGTACCAAGAGAACTGGAGTACCAAGAGAGGATTTAAATGGTGGGCACAAGCAGCAGCATGCAGTGACTACTACTATTGCTGCTAACGACACATACGTGCTTCATGGCAGGGAAGAGGAGATGGGATGTGTTGATGGGCCCTCCAAAAAGTTGGCTATCAGCTAATGCCCAAAAGGCCAGCTTCTGATACCAAGCCTGGTATGACCACAGTCTTCTGCTGCTCTGAGAACAACCAGGTGTTTGCTGAACCAGGAGGTTAAACAGAGCTCAGACCTCTTCTCTGAATTTGAGCTCTGAGAATTTGTAAAGTCTGTTTTTGTCACCTCTAAGCGAATGGACTTTCTTAGCTGCAAAAGATCACTTGTAGTCACTGTGCAGGATATTAAATTTACACTTTCCAGCTTCACTGATATGATACTACATGGAAAAGCAGCTGGATTTTCCAGGAGGTAGAACCTGCACCATGGCGCAGAACTGGAAGCAGAGGAAGATGGCCTCTCTCAGATGTGCAAGAAATGTGCTGGCTCAAGGACACACCGCCTCTTTCAGCATGAGGGCAGAACTCAGGACTGCATTGGGTGGGGTCAAAGGGAAAGGGGCACAGAGCCAAAGGAAAAAGTGATGCGGCCAAAAAGAGCAGCGGATTCTCACTTAAAGTTATTACTACTATTAAGCCTTAAGAGAAACAGTTCAATCTTTCAGAATGGGAAAATTGTGCAGGAAACCACCAAACATGGGCAGTCACAGGGAAGGGCTGTCCTACTGCTCCTGATGCCTATATGCTACCTCTGGTATACATATGTACACCAGTTGCTGGGGAACATGAGTAGGAGGGTGTTGCTGCACTTATGTCCTGTTTGTGGGTTCCAGGTGGGCAACTGATTGGTGACTGTGTAAACAGAAGGCTGGACAGAACGCTTGGTCTGATTCAGCGTAGCTCTTGTTATATTCTTACGTAGACTGCCCAAGTGTGCCCAAGAGATGCAATAAAAGCATGCCGTATCTTTGAACTGTTCCCTCCAGCACAAAGCCCATAAAGCTAAAGGCAGTTGCTCACATTCCTGGCAGCATCTCGGTCCGCTCCTCGAAGCAGCATAACTTTCACTACCTCGCTGTGACCCATCTGAGAGGCTATCCACAATGGAGCTGTCCCATCCTTGATGGAAAACAAAACAAAACAGGAATGATCCATTTGATATAGGCGATACGAAACAGCTCTGGCAGCTCACCACAAGGCTTTGGCTGGAGCTCAAGGACAAAACGAACTTGAATTCCTTTGGTTTGAGAAGGGACAGAGTGTTCAGCTCAGTTGGGAATGAAAAAATCAGCAGACAGTTGTGGCTGCGTAAATGTTTGTATGACACAAATGAAATAATCTATCCATTAATCAAGTGGAAATATTATTCTGCATGACAATGAAAAGAGTTTTCTTCTGTACTCCTTGAATTGGATCCAGATTTTTACTTAATGTAGGCTCACTAAAATCAATGGGCAACAGTCAGTCATGGCAAAAGTACATCCCGTTGCTTTCAGTGAGTATAATGAATCTTAAGGGAGACAAGATCCACTGATTTTAATGGGTCTACTCTACTGCAATTGCAGATGGAATGCTCTTTGTGTTTAATATCCAAACATAGCTATTGTGAAGCTATTCCATCTTTTCTTCCTTAAGCGATTTTCTAGGCTAAGAACAACATGGAGGAAGCAGTAGAGAAAACAGGAGAATTAGAAGTAGATGAAGCTATTCTTTTGAACCCCCATACAATTATGTGAATGAGGCAAAGCTATGGTTCAATAAAATTCTCACCTGGAAATATATAAGTAGGACTAAGTCTAGATCCAACCCCTTAAATCTGACCAGATGCTATTGCAGCCTTTCCCAATCTCATGCCCTTCAAGATGTTTTGAATATCAGCTCCTATCAGCTCCAGCTGGCAAGGACAATGAACAAGATTGCTAGGAGTTGTAGTCCAAAACACCTGGAACCAAACTGAGGAAGGATGTGCTATAGGAAGGCTTAGCATAGTGGATCCCTATGCAGCCAAAATCTGAAGGTTAACGGCTACTGAAAAATCTTATCCTGATAAGGTCCATTCTATCTACTATGACATCAGATTGGCTGAATAACACATTGGATGCACTGAAATGTCACAATAAATCATGCTTGATTGTAACAAAAAATGTTAGCTTTCCTTTGGGCTCACACACTTCCTACTCCTCTCCCTTATCATGACCATCAAATCAGAAGCTTCTTGTGTCACTCAAGCCCTATGCCATGGTTATTCTTAATTATATTTTTTTCAGTCCAGCCAGTATCATAACTCATGGTTTCAAGCTGACTTGTTTAACAAGAACAGCAACATAAAAATAAGCACAGTTTCATGGTTAGGATAACCTGAAAAACTGTAGTTAATATAAAAAGGAAACGAATACTTGTAAAATCCTGCTGATAGGCATGCTAGAGGGACAAAGTATGCAAGCTGAAGGGGAGGCTGGGTTTATTCCTATCACAATGAAACATGGTTTACTGTGACACCTGGATACAACCATTATGGGTAAATCTGTATTCTTGCAGAAGAAAATGCTTTAGAAATAAACACATAATGCTGTTACTGAGAACGTTGAAACAGAATAATGGGGCAGAGGAGCTTCTTAACTCTTTCCCCATGCCACTTTTTTCACTGAAAATTAAGTAGCTCTCAAGTAACTTTTACTCCTTAATACCCCATTATTAAAAACAGCAATGCCAAAATAGCTCAAAGAAAAATGGAGGAAGGTGGGCTTGATAGACCACAGGGAAGTGTGAATATGAAGCTAAAGTTGTACATTTGTGGGGCTGCACCAGAACAGTTTACATTGCACCCAAATTAAAAAAGGAGACTTCAGCTTACAATTTCAATGCCTTCTGGGGCCCAAGTGAAAAATAAATCCTTTTATTTTCCTAGCATTTTAATTGTTGAACAGTTTGATTTTATATTGGTTTTTATTCAGATTGTGATTGAATAGTTGCAGCAGATCAGTAGTCTGTGCTGTCTATTATTATTTTAATTTTTCTTATTAATTGTGGTTATTATCTCTGAAATTATGATTATTATGGTTGTTACTATTGAGTCATGCTGTAAACCGTTCTGAGAGCATTTGCTATAGAATGACCTGTAAAACCTTTAAATAGAAAGGCAGACTATGTGCAATGCCATTTATTTTATAGCAAATATTTATCAAATCCTAAAATCTATTTTTCTCTTCAGAAAAAAAATTCAGGAAATATCCTTGTACTCAGCACAACATGTTATATTTCAATAAGAACTTAAGTTGCTTTCCATGATTGTTTTCTTAATACTGCTACCAAAGCAAGCAATTTTGGTGAGTATTTGCATCTTAAAACATGTATGTGTTCGTGCAGAGATGATGCTGGACTGCAACTCCCACTAGCTCCAGTCAATTATGATGAGGGATGA